ACCCCCCCCATTTCCCATCCCCATCCCCTCGGGATCCACCCCGGCACCTTGATGATCTCCTCGTCCCCCTCGTTGGACTTGACGCACTCCGAGGCCAGGGAGTGCCCGTTGCTGGACCTGTTGGCCACCATGGCGAAGGCTTTGCCCACTGGCTGCAAAGGGGGGGGAATTTCCCGATGAGTAAATCCCCCCAAAATCCCGGGAATCCCTCCCCGGGGCCGGGATTGCACCCACCTTCTGCTTGGCCTGCTCGCGCCGCTCGCCCGGCAGCTCCTGGGGCAGCGTCAGCCGCAGCACCCTCACGCTGTCCTGCGGCAGAAAGCGGGCTCAGTCCCACCTCACGGGCGGTTCCGGGCTCAGCTTCGGCCTCCCCGGGGGTCTTTTGCCCAGTTTTAAATTTAAGGTTTAAGTTTAAAGCGTAAAATTGGAGTTTTGGGGCTCCCCGGAAGGCTTGGCCCGGGTTGGTCCGGACAGACCAGGAGCTCCTCCCTCACCTGGGATTGAGGGAGTGGGTCCTGATGGGATTAAAGGGGTGGACCCTGCTGGGATTAAAGGGGTGGGTAGTGATGGGATTGAGCAAGCAAATCCTGCTGGGATCAGAGTGAATCCTGCTGGGACTAAAGGAGTGGATCCTGCTGGGACTAAAGGAGTGGATCCTGCTGGGACTAAAGGAGTGGATCCTGCTGGGACTAAAGGAGTGGATCCTGCTGGGATCAGAGTGAATCCTGCTGGGATTAAAGGAGTGGATCCTGCTGGAACTGAACAAACAAATCCTGCTGGGATTGAACAAGCAAATCCTGCTGGGATCAGAGTGAATATTGCTGGGATTTAAGGAGTGGATCCTGCTGGGATCAGAGTGAATATTGCTGGGATTTAAGGAGTGGATTCTGATGGAATTAGACAAGTAAATCCTACTGGGATCAGAGTGAACAGTGCTGGGATTTAAGGAGTGGATCCTGATGGAATTAGACAAGCAAATCCTGCTGGGATCAGAGTGAATACTTCTGGGAGTAAAGGAGTGGATCCTGATGGAATTAGACAAGCAAATCCTGCTGGGATTGAACAAGCAAATCCTGCTGGGATCAGAGTGAATAGTGCCGGGGATTCTGATGGAATTAGACAAGCAAATCCTGCTGGGATCAGAGTGAATCCTGCTGGGATCAGAGTGAATCCTGCTGGGATTTAAGGAGTGGATCCCACTGGGATTAAAGGAGTGATCCAGGACGAGGCCACGGATCCAACCCCTCGGGACTGGAGGATCCACTGAGCTGATCCAAGGCCGGGATCAGGACAGGGTTTGGAGTGACCTCCTCCCGTGGAAGGTGTCCCTGGCAGGGGGGGTGGGACTGGGAGGGCTTTAAGGCCCTTCCAACCCATCCCATTCCATGATCCCACAATCCCGGGAGGTGTGCCACGATCCCAGAGGTGCTCCACACCCAGGGGGTTCACCCAAAAAACCTCGACGTCCTTCTCCCGGACGGATCCTCGGGAAGGATCCCGAATCCCGGAGCTGCTCCGTGTCCCGCGGGCTCTCCGGAGGCAGCTCCACGGATGGATCCCTCCCCTGGGATCCCGCCCGGGCCACGCCCTGGGCCACGCCCTGGGCCACGTCACCCTCCTCCCCAGGCCCCGGCGGGGTGTTCCCGCCTCCTCCCGCTTCCAGAGGCTCTCTCCAAGTCCCAACAAGCCGAGTTTGTTGCCCAAATACTCCGGGTGAACTCCCACAGATCCTCGGGGATCCGCTCCCGTGGATCCCACGCCCACCCCGGGGCCAGATCCCCTAAAATCCCTCTGTTCCATCCCGGGAAAGCTCCGCTTGGGATCCGCTCCCGCCCGCCGACTGTTTCACTGGATGCTCCCCGGGGAGATTCTTCCTCCAGGGAATGTTTTCCTCGGCAAAGTTTGGAAAATTCCGCCAGGAAGCCTCGGGAGCAGCCGGATTCAGCAGGCTCTGGGGGTTTGGGGGGGGTATTTTGGGATTTGGGGGGGTTTTAGGGAAGGCAAAGGGCTCACGGCGGCGCCGGAATCCAACGGGATCCAGGGAAAGGCCTCCCCCAAACATCCTCACTGCCAGCTTTGTTTACAAGCACCAGGATCATTCCCAATCCCATCATTCCCAATCCCATCGAGCTGCCAAGGAATCCTCTCTCCCAGGGGAAGATCCACCCCGAGGAGGAGGAACGAGCACGGAGCGATTTCCATCCCTGCAGCCAAAACTTCCGCACGTGGACACTTCCCATCCCCAAAAAAAACCACCATCACCACCAAACCTGCTCCTGGATGAAACCCACCACGGAGCCCAGAGCTAAACCAGCACTAAACGAGCACTAAACCAGTGCTAAACCAGCACTAAACTTGCACTAAACCAGCACTAAACCAGCACTGGCACTTCCAAATCCCGGCTCCACCGAGCAGGAAACCAGCCCATGCAAATCCCAGCTCCGTCAGGGAGGGTGGGACACGAGTTTCCCTGTTTTGAGGGACACTCCCTGGACCACCAGGGATGAAATCTGGCTTTTTTGGGGGGTGCAGGGAATGTTTTTTTTGGGAAGCTGAGGCAGGTGCAGGAGGCCAGGATGGAGCTGATCCCTTCCCGCCTCGGTTCCGGTGAGGAAGGATGGAGGAGAGGAGCAGAAACGCCTAATTTGGGGGTTTTTGGGGCTTTGCCAAAGTTTTAGTGGCTCCTCACCGGGGTGGGTTTAGGAGAAGCGGCTCCTCCAGGGCCAAGCTGGAGCTCTGAGGTCCCAAATCCTGCCGGGATCGGATCCACAGGGACTCCCGGCCCTGCTCCTGTCCCTGAAATCCAACTCCCACCTCCTGCTTCCAGCCCTGGAGCTGAGGGAGGTGGATTTGGGGCCTCCTCCATTATTTTCCAGGGAAGCAGGAGGCTTTTCCAAGACAATGGAGAGCCCCACGCTCGGCTCCAGCTCGGAAAAAAACCCGCCCGGGACAGAAAATCCTTCTTTAACCCCCCCCAGCTGAGCATCCCGGGGGTTATTCCAGCCTGGCCCTCTGTGTTTACGGCTTTTCCTTGGGAATGAACCGGGATGGGAAGAGTTTGGCCGGGTCTGGGCTGCAGGGAAGCTCCAGCACTTGGAGGTTTTTGGGCAGGAAGCTCGTTTGAGGAGACATTCCCAAAATCCCCGGTGGCCCCGTGGGTCCAAACACCCCCGAGAGCCGAATCCCTGCGGAAACGAGGACAACCGGGAGGGGGATTTCAGGAATTCCGAAGCCAATTTTAAAACATTTTGCACCGTCCAACCCGTTCCGGAGGGAGGAGGCTCCGGGGAAGGGGGAACCACACGAACCCCAACCACATCCGAGGGCCCCGCGGCCGCCGATCCCGAGTTTTGCAACCCTCGGGAAGGTCCGTCCGTCTGTCTGTCTGTCTGTCTGTCCCGCCCGGGAACAGGCCTGACCTGAGCCAAGGTGTGTGTGTGGGGGGGTATCAGCGAGGATCAGCAGCCGGAATTTTGGGGATCGCCGGCGCTGGAGCCGCTTATCTGCCCCAACCCCATTAACCGACGAGCCCAAACGCCGCGATCGCTCCTTATAAGGCTGGAAAAGCCGCCGGGAATGAGGAGACTCTCCCCGAGGAGACTCAGAGCTGAGTCACCCCGCAGCCGGCACGGGGCAAAAAAAGGCGGCCCGACTCTTATTTTTTTGGGGAGGGATCCCTCCGGCCCCCCAAAAAAGCCTCGA